CCCGCGGGTACTGTTCATGAACAGTATAAAAAAAAAAAGTTTTTTTTTTTAAGCCTCGGCACTGTTCCTGAGGGAACAGTGCCTGTAGGTACTATTCGTGAACAATAAAAAAATTTTTTTTGCCCCTGGCACTATTCCCGAGGGAATAGTACTAGCGGGTATTGTTCATGAACAGTAAAAAAAGTTTTTTTTTTGCCTCCGGCATTGTTCCCGAAGGAACAGTAGGTACTATTCATAAACAGTAAAAAAAGTTTTTTTTTTACTCCCAGTACTATTCCCGAAGGGACACCTGGGGTACTGTTCATGAACATGAAAAAAGTTTTTTTTTTTTTTTTTTTAATTGTAATGTAACTTACAATTCATTTTCTCAGAGTTTAAGGACAAACCAATCCTCTCAACTCAAGAAGCAAAGTATGTCAATAAGGCCACTACTTACCCAGTGAAGACCTTTAGCGATCTCACGACTGACGAGGCTTTAGATTTGTACGTACGAGCTACTAGCTTAACTGAAACCCCCACCCATTTAGAGAACGGTAAGAAAAATGAAGGCACTTATACGTGAACTTACTGATTTTTGTTAATATTTTATTAAATATTTTCCTTACTACTCTTTATGCAGGCAAGAAACTTAGTAAAAGGCTCCTGGCCAAGTTCGGTCAAGTAATCTTCCTTCTACTCCTGCTTCCAAAAAATTACGAAGGGTGGGAGAGGAAAATCATGGTAAATCTTTAAGCCCTGGAGTGTTATCATGTCCTACTCCTATATCTCTAGGTTTCAGCGGATTTGGTGGGGTTCCTACGAGTTTCGAGAGTTTGTTTCGGTATCAACCAACCAAGCATTCTCCCAAGGGGAGTCGATTCTCGATAACGCTAATGTCACGCATGATAGGTTACATAAAATGGTAGTAAAAGATGACGTTGCCGGATTGCAAAATCTGCCAGCATCTGAGCTTTTAAGGAAATTCCTTCATCTAATTAGCCAGGTGAGATTTTACCTTTATCACGTGCATCTCTCTCTTTTTAACTATTTACCACTATTTATTTATTTACTTATTTATAGGGCACTACATACTCTGTTGTTATTGCAAAAGAATACGAGAAGCTTTCCTTAGAGATGGCTTCCCTCAAGGTTAAATATGAAGATGTTACTTCTATACTTAAAAATAAATAAGACGACTTGGCTAATGCAAAGTTAAACTTTCAAGATGAGAAAGTGAGACTTACCAAAGAATACTTCGATAAGTTGGAACTTGAGAAGCTAGTTGCCGTGGAGAGCTTTAAAAATTCTGATGAGTTCAAGGTGCTCATAGGCAAGGCTTGCTGTGATGGTTTTGACCAGTTCAAAGCTCTTGTCAGCAAAGATCGTCCAGACATAGACTTTTCTATGTATGATATTCTAGCTGAGAGCGAAGAGGAAGATTGAATTCCATAGTAGCAGTCATATATATATATATATATATATATATATATTAGGTTTTTTGCTTTCTTAGCATGCTGATCCCTTAGAACTTGTCAGAATATCTCTCAATTCAGAGAATAGTTGCTCTACTTTTGACATTTTGTCTTTCATGATATTGCTTCACTCAGCCCGCCCTTCTTCTGAAGCAATGTATTTTTATGAGCTTCATCCAGCTCGTCCCTTTAGTAAGGGAATGTCAATTATTTCTTTTAATAAAGAAATGGACTTAATGTTTTACTAGTCCTTTTCGTAACTTATTAAATTCAATAGTAACATTGTCAACAGTAAAAACATATGAAATGAAGACAAATAATTATTTTATTAAAGACTTATCGAAAATAATATTTGATAGTCGAGCATCAGCATCCATTAAACACTGGTCCACTTTATTGAAGCTAAAAACATACTATCACTTTTAAAAGTGAAATAATGAATTAAAACATAGCCTGACATAAGTACCTACTGGTAATATTTCTTTAAATGTTCTGCATTCCATGGGTGGGGAAGCTGGCTTCCACCAAGAGTCTCTAACCAATATGCCCCCGGTCTGTTGCTCTGGGTTACTCGATAGGGGCCCTCCCAGTTGGGAGCTAACTTTCCTTCCCCCTTTTCCTTAGTAGCCGGGGTAACCTCGCGGAGCACCAGGTCTCCTGGCTCGAACCTCCTTAGCTTGACCTGGGCATTGTAGTACTTGGATATCATCCGCTGGTAAGCTGCAACCTTAACCTGTGCCTGCTCCCTTTTCTCTTCTACCAGGTCTAAGTTTAACCGTAGTTCCTCGAAATACTTGGTTCTGAAAGTGGCTACCTTTGTTTCCACCAGGATCACTGCTTCACTTCCAAAAGCTAACCCAAAGGGGGTCTCCCCAGTGGGGGTTGTCACGGTGGTGCGATAGGCCCATAAAACTCAGGGCATTTGTTCAGGCCACAAACCCTTGGCTTTCTCTAGACGTGTCTTGATCATCTTCAGTACTGTCCTATTCGTGACCTCAACTTGCCTATTGGCTTGGGGATGAGCAAGAGAAGATAAATGAACTTTGATCCCAAGTTCATTACAAAAATCCAGGAACTGCTCACTTTCAAACTGCTTCCCATTATCTGTCACAATCACCCTTGGTGCTCTGAACTTGCAAATTATTGTTTTCCAGAAAAACTTATTTACTTTATTTACCCCAATATGAGCTAATAGCTCAGCTTCCACCCATTTGGTGAAGTAATCGATAGCCACAATTACATATTTAGTTTGTCCCTTCCCTGGGGGTAAGGGGCCAATGAGGTCCGTCCCCCATTGGACAAAAGGCCATGGCCTTGTAAGAGGGAGTTAACTCTTCTGTTGGTTGTTTTGGGACATTAGCGAATCATTGGCATTTGTCACATTTCTTCACAAAATCAAGTGCATCTTTCCTCATAGTAGGTTAAAAGTATCCTTGTCGGATAGCTTTATATGCTAATGACCTGCCCCCAGTATGGTTTCCACAAAAGCCTTTATGTATGTCTTTTAGAATGTAGTTTACCTCATCAACGGAAACACAACGTAAGTAAGGTAGAGAAAATCCCTTCTTGTAGAGAACTCCATCAATGAGGGAATATTTTGCCACACGCATCCTAATCTTTCGTGCTTCCATGTAGTCCTGGGGTAGTTCTTCATTCTCTATGTACCTGATAATGGGTTCTGCCCACTCCATTCCTTGGATCACCTGGTGTATTTTTCGTGGCCAATCCCAGGCTGTGCTAGTCTCATCCAAATATCTCACAGGTATAGCTTTATCTTCCTCTGCGGTTGCCAGTCGAGCTAGGGCGTCTGCCTGCTCATTATTTTATCGGGGAGATCCGGTGAATAGAGAACTCCTTAAAAAAGCCCTTGATACCTTCTATCTTATGTAGATAGGTCTTCATCTTCTCATCCTTGGCTTCATATTCCTCCTGGACTTGTCCAATTATTAGTTGAGAATCGCTATACGCTATTAGTCGCTGAACTTCCAAAGCTTTAGCCATCCTGAGGCCTGCTAGGAGGGCTTCATATTCCGCCTTATTGTTGGTTGCCTTAAATCTAAACCTGAGTGCATATTTGATGCATTCCCTATTTGGGGAGACAATTACTAGCCCTGTCCCACTTACACGGGCGTTGACCGACCCATCCACGTATAATGTCCAAGTAGATTCAGTTTCTTCTTGCTCATTTATGCCATGCTCGTGCCCATCTTCTGGTGTGAATTCCGCGATAACATCTGTCAGTACCTGGGCTTTTAAGGCTGTTTGGGGTTTATATTGGATATCAAACTCTCCAAGTTCTACCGACCACTTCATGAGTTGCCCCGAAGTATTAGGTTTGTGGAGATCTTCCCTAAGTGGTTGGTCCGTCAATACTATTATTGTATGCACTTGGAAGTAAGGCCTGAGTTTCCTCGCTGAGACAATTAGAGCAAATGCCAACTTTTCTATCCTTGGGTACCTTTCTTCCGCCCCTTTGAATGCATGGCTATTATAATATACTGGTTTCTGGTTTCCATCCTCTTCGCGGACTAAGGCTGAGCTTACTGCCAACGGAGAAACCGCCAAGTACAAATACAGCTGTTCTCCTTGCATCGCCAGCGATAGTAACGGTGGTGAGGTAAGATACTTCTTCAGCTCTGCAAAAGCTTGCTCGCACTCAAGTGTCCATGAAAAAGCTTTCCTGAACACACGAAAAAAAGGCAAACACCTATCCATCGCCCTGGAAATCAACCTGTTCAAAGCAATGATCCTTCTCGTCAATCTTTGAAGTTCCTTGGTCGATGCTGGAGACCACATGTTGAGAATCGCCTGGACCTTCTCGGGGTTGGCTTCTATTCCTCTTCTGCTTATCATGTAACTGAGGAATTTCCCAGAGGAGACACCAAAGGCACATTTGTCTGGGTTAAACTTCATTTGGTGTTTCCTGAGGACTTGGAATGTCTCCTTTAGATCAGCTAGGTAGTCTTGAGCTTTTAAGCTTTTTATGAGCATGTCATCCACATATACTTTCATATTCCTTCCGATTTGGTCCTTGAACATCAGGTTGACTAGCCGCTGATATGTTGCCCCAGCATTTTTGAGCCTAAAAGGCATCACCTTGTAGCAATATAAACCTCTGTCCATGACGAAATAGGTCTTCTCTTTGTCTGGTGGGTGCATTGGGTTATACCCTGAGTATGCATCCATGAAACTGAGCAACTCATGGCCAGCCGTTCCTTCTATCAACATGTCGATTCTTGGAAGAGGGAAACTGTCTTTGGGGCATGCCTTATTTAAATCAGTATAGTCTACGCACAACCTCCATTTTCCATTAGCCTTTTTTACCAAAACAACATTGGCCAACCAGTCGGGATAATGAACCTCTTGGATGAAATCAGCTTTCATAAGCTTGTTCATCTATTCTGATATAGCCATATTCCTTTCCGCGGCAAATGTTCTTCATTTTTTCCTGATAGGTTTGAATGTGGGATCTGTGTTTAATCGATGCTCGGTCGTAGCTGGATTAATACCAGGCATGTCTTCATGTGACCATGCGAACACATCTTGATTCTATCTGAGGAACTGTATAAGAATATTCGTGAAATTTGAGGGGAATAGAGACCCTATCCTCACCTTTTTTGTTACGTCAGTGTCATTCAAGTATATCTCCACCAGGTCCTCAATTAGCTTGGCTCGGTCTTGCTCATTTTCTTCAATTTCATCGACAACCAAAGCCTCCTGCTGCTTCTTTTCTTTGAGAGACGCAACATAGCATTCTCTAGCAATGGTCTGATCTCCTCTTAGTTCGCTTACGCCATGCTCTGTAGGGAAACACATTAAGAGTTGATAAGTCGAAGTGATGGCCCTCATCGAATTCAAGGTTGCTCTTCCTACGATGACATTATAAGTAGATGGACAATTTACCACCAGGAAGTCTACCATAACAGTAACCTGTTTTAGGCTGGTTCCTGCAGTGATTGGAAGAATGACCGCTCCTAGAGGGTAGACCTTGTCTCCCGTGAATCCCACCAATGGTGATCTAGTAGGTCTAAGTTTCTCTTTACCAATCTTCACTTTGCTGAATGTGTCAAGGAAAATAATATCAGCCGAACTTCCATTGTCTACCAAGATTCATCGAATACTATAGTTAGCGATCATCATGGTGACAACGAGAGGGTTGTCATGAGGTTGTTGCACATCTTTAATGTCTTCATCTAAGAATGTAATAACTGGATCACCTAGACGAGGCATCTTTCGATGTTGAATCTGTACTCCAACTTCGCACACCTCATATGAGCTTCGCATTCTCCTAGCATAGGCCTTACGGGCTGAGCTTAATTCTCCACCTCCTGCACATCCCCCAGCTATGACCCTGATTTCTCCCATTGGTTGTTGATCAGGAGGGCGGTTATCTCGGCCTGCTCTAGGTGGATTAATGTCGGTTCTGTCATTCCCCACAATAAACTTTCGCATGTGCCTTATTCGGATCAACGTCTCAATCTGATCCTTGAGGTCGAAGCAATCCTCTGTGGCGTGCCTATAGTCTTTATGGAACCTACAGTATTTATCACGAGGTCTCCTTTTCGAATCTGATTTCAACTTCGGTGGCCACTTCAGATATGGTTCATCCTGGATCTGCAGAAAAACTTGATCTATCAGCATATTTAAAGGAGTGTAATTTGTATACCTCTCCGCGTTCTTATAGCGAGACGCCTTTTCACTCTGGTTGACCATGGGTTTCTTATACTTAGTTTCCTTTTCATCTTTGGTTGTCAGAGCCGGCCTTTTCTTGTCTGCCTTCTTATCTTCCCCTTCTTTTCCCTTTCTCGCCATCATTGCATCTTCAGCATTCATATGTCTTTTAGCTCGAACCAATAACTCGGCCATGTTGGTAGGAGGTTCCTCTAATAAAGAGAAGAGGAATCTCGAGGTTTGGAGTCCTCCCATAAAGGCTGCTAGGGCCTCCTTGTCATCCGCTTCCTCCACCTGTAGCATCTCCGTGTTGAAACGACTAATGTAATCTCGCAGTGACTCTCCCTTCTGTTGCTTTACAGTAAGAAGGTGGGTAGCCGACCTTCTATGCCTCTGGCCAGTAATGAAATGGCCTACAAAGCCCTTACTCAATTCTTCAAAGGTTTCGATGGTCCCTGGCTTCAGTTTGTTGAACTATACCCATGCTGATCCTTTGGGGGTCGTTGGGAAGGCCCTGCACATGATCTCATTTGGCATTGCGTGCAAGTGCATAAGCACTTGAAAAGTCTCCAAGTGGTCAAGGGGATTTTTAGTTCCATCGAAACTCTCAATTGTGGGCATTCTAAATTTGCTGGGCAAGGGGCATTTCATAACCGAGGGGCTGAACAACAAATTGGTCCTCTGCATCAAACCATTTATGGCTGCAATGCCTTTACCCTTCATGGCCTGCATCACATCCTCCATCTTTGCCTTGAGATCCTGCATCTCTAGGTCAACGTGGGAAATCTCTTCTGTCTTTTCAATGACAGTTGTGTCTTCATGGGGTGGGGAACTCTGTGGAAGAGAGGGGTGGATCACCTTTTTATGTCGGTTCCCCACCTGGCTTTGTTCCGCTTTGGTCTCATGTTGGGGAGGATGATTATCCTGCTCCTCCAGATTCCTATTACCCCTATTTGGATTCGAAAGGTCTTGTCGTGGCAAGTTTTGTTGAACTGGTGGAACAAGGTGTTGCAGGAATGCTGCATTTTGCTGGATCAACTGGTCCATACCCTGATTCAGAGTTTGGACTTACAGTTCCAACGCTATAAGCCGTGTCTGGTCGTTTGGGATGTCTAGGTTTTCACCCGACTCTTCCTTTTGACCAAATCCCTGCGACGATGTTCCTTCGGTAACCATACCGGACCACAAACGTATATACCCAACTGAGTAATTAATTAATTCAAGGGAATCGTCTTTCCCACACATGGCGCCAACTGTTGAGGTTGAAATTCGCTCCGGTCTGGTACGATACCGTTTCCTGCAAAACAGAGACGGCAAAGTCAAACATCGGTGTGGTGCCGGCCGTTGACCCTCCGACAATCAAGTTAATAAGGATTTCTAGAGAAAGAACTTCAATCGTAATTTCCCTAGTAAGACTTTTTTTGTGTGTACCTTATTCTCGATCGTCGTCCTATTTATCATCGCTTCCCTTATTCTCGATAAGGGAATTTTGTCATTCTTATCCCATGGAACTTATCCCATGGAAATCTCATCCTTGATAAGATTTGTCATCATCCTCGTGGAAATCTTATCCTAGATAAGATTCGTCATCATTCTTATCCATGGAACAACGCAATATTATCGTTTGATCACCGAGTAGATCTGGCGGCTGGTCAACACTTAGTTGTCTCTATCGCTAGGTCAAGGTAGGCTAGATTTATTTTTCCCTATCAACATCAATAATACTAAATTAATTCAATTAAAGAAAATACCAAAGACCATTAACTAAAACAAATCAATTAACGCAATTTAAATTCATAATTAAACAATTAGATTACAATCAAATCAAATAAATAATGAAAACAATTAAACACTTAAACAAATAAGCAAATAGTCACACAAAAATACAATAAAACAATAAATAGAATGCTGAGACTATCCTTTTAAAATTAGGGGTATTACATCACTCTCCTATAATGTGTGGCATTTTACTACTGTTGGAGTAATGATACTCAATATCAATGAAGACAAGATTGCTATATCAAATGATAACATATATGGTCAACCATGCAATTTTAAGTGCCCTAAAGTAGCAAAGGTCAAATTATATCAAGAAATGCAAATTCATTTTCAATATAATGGAGGCATATAATGTGTCTGCTTATGTTTATTTCACTTCGAAGTACAAAGGAAATGAACTCTTTATCAATAGTAGATTGGTGAGGACACTTGGGAGGCTGAAATCAGAGCAAATTAAAACTATATCAACTAAAAAGTGCAACTCACAAAAGACTGATGATGACAAGCAGAGTGTAATGCTGGAAAAATCAAATAACTCTTTCTTTTTTCATAACAAGGTAAGTTTATCTACCTTAAACTTTATTTCACCTTTTGTACACTGTGTATTGAAGTTCAGCACAGAGGAAACTCTATGGAGCAAAAAGGGTGCTGCATCTGTGTTTGAAAGAATGGCAAGAGTATTGAAAAATGCAACCAAGCAAAAAGGAAGGTTTAGTATAGGATACAAGAGTGAGAGCATGTAGAAAAAGAAAACCAAACTTTTTTAATGCCTGTTAAGACTGAAGATGATGATACATATACAACCTTCCTTACAAATTCATCACCAAATAGCTCTAGATTTGATTGGCTTAACATAATCTATTATTCATTGAGCCTTGACAACTGCGACTTTGTCACCTCTAAACTCAGACAAAGAGCATATACTCCAGCTCATCTCAGAATGTGTAGTGATAGATGTGTGACTATTGAGACCAAAAATACACATGCATATATATAAAAACACAAACAACATATATGTACAAATACAGACACAAACAACTGTAATTTTACTTTTTATTGAAAATTTTGAATTGACCTTAAGCTACAATTACATGGAGTAGAATGTTATAAGTAAATACATATGTAAATGAAGAAAAAACTACATATACAAGGCACATAGCCAATCAACAACTTAAGCAATATATATAAAACTTCTCTATGGTAGCTATTTTTGTTTGAAACCTATGCAATGATCTCTCCCTCTTTTATATCAATCACCTCCTCCTCATCCTCGTACAAATCATCATCTTTCTTAAGAAACAAACAAACTTCTCAAGTGGTTTAGTTCCAAAAATCCTTAAATTTTCAAAATTTGACAATCTGCATATTGTTCTAAAACTGGACAATGTTCTCCATCTGGAAATGAGGAGGAGAAAGAAGAGTTAATTTAATTTAAAGCTTGAGGATTGGAAGAAGAAAAAAAATTGAAAAAAAGAACAAACTTTTGCAGAGAAAGTATGGCAGCTTCTCCATTCCTCTCCTGCATGATTTTTCATGCTTGTAAAATCTTTTGTGAAGCAGTTTCATCAGCTATGATTTGGGCTTCAATTGTGCTCGGTTTCAATTTTGGTTTAATCCGATTAAATTTAGCAGCCCATAGGAATGGAATACACAACATTTTTTTAATACATAATATTGCTTTTAAGGCTGAAATTTGAAGGAATGGAATACATAATATTTTTAGAAGGCTGAAATTTGAATGAAAAACTGATGTTTATATCTGATTTAATAATAGCTCATTCTATGCTTTCAGGATAGTGCCTATAAAGTGTTTCTTGAGCGCTGTAGCACGGATAGATTGAATCCCAGAAACCATTGTCTTTTTCTTTGATTGCAATCACAGCTAAGGAAATTGTTTTGGGCAGAGGAATGGGTATAGGACAGAACTGAAAAGAGAGAGAAATAAAAAGGGAAATTGAAGGGTTTCAGAGAAATATCGATTCATCGCGTTTAGCAGTTACTTTGGGGAATTCTGTAATCACACACTCTAGGAATAGAACAAAACAACCCCCAGTTTCGGTATAGGACAGAACAATAAAAAAAAGCTTTGGGTAGAGAATAGGTATAGGACAAAACAGGATGAGATGAAGATTTTGCTTCGATAAAGGGTTGTATGGTATATGAGATGAAAGCGAAGAGGAAATGAATGAGAATTGAACAGTTTCAGTTCGAATTAAAGCGATAATCCAAAACGAAAATATTAGGTTTAAGAGAGCATTATAAATGCGAGGGTTTTTTTTAGATCTCACTACCTTTTATTTCTTGTTTTCCCAAGTAATCCCAATAAGTAATCCCAGTTCTTTGGGGATAGGCGGCGAATGACGCTATATATTCAAAACAATTCTTGCTTCACATTAAAGCAAATGACCGCCTTACCTTTCTAGCTCATTTCTTTACCAAAATTTAAGCCTGCCAGATCAATCTAGTCTTAGAATCTAAGATGACTAGAGCGGACTACTTACCCTAACACATTATTACTTCTTATTAATGTGTACAGAGAAAATGTTTCACCCTCTTAGCCCCCAAAGAGGGGGGAAATCAAATGATAACATTGCCAAATTACTACTGTTGGAGTAATGATACTTACCCATCTCTAATGTCACTCTCCGTGGAAAATCAAAATGGAGGCATTTCTAATGTCACTCTCCTATGATGTGTGGCATCTTATTACTTGTTGGAGTAATGATACTCAATGCCAATAAAAACAAGATAGCTATATCAAATGATAATATATATGGCCAAACATGCACTTTTAAGTGCCCTACAGCAGCAAGGGTCAAATTATATCAAGAAATGCAACTTCATTTCCAATATAATGGAGGCATGTAATGTGTCTGCTTATGTTCATTTCACTCAGAAGTACAAAGGAAATGAATTCTTCATCAAAAGTAGATTAGTGAGGACACTTCGGAGGCTAAAATCAGAGAAAATTAAAACTATGTCAACTCACAGAAGATTGATGATGACAAGCAGAGTGTAATGCTGAAAAAATCAAATAACTATTTCTTCTTTCATAGCAAGGTAAGCTTATCTACCTTGAACTTTATTCCACCTTTTGTACATTGTGTATTGAAGTTTAGCTCAGAGGAAACTCTATGGAGCAAAAAGGGTGCTGCATCTGTGTTTAAAAGAATGGTAAGAGTTTTGAAAAATGCAACCAAGCAAAAAGGAAGGATTAGTATAGGATACAAGAGTGAGATCAAGCAGAAAAAGAAAATCAAACTTTTTTAATGCATGTTAAGACTGAAGATGATGATACACATACAACCTTCCCTACAAATTCATCACCAAACAACTCTAGATTTTGTTGGCTTAACATAATCTAGTCATCCTTCAGCCTTGACAACTGTGACTTTGTCACCTCTAAACTCAAACAAGGAACATATATTTCAGCTTATCTCAGAATGTGTAGTGATAGATGTGTGAGTATTGAGACCAAAAATATACATGCATATATATAAAAACATAAACAATCATATAAATGAAGATAAAACTGCACATACATTGCACATGAGCAATCAACAACATAAACAGTATATATAAAACTTCTCTATGGTAGCTATTTTCGTTTGAAACCTATGCAATGATCTTTCCCTCTTCTATATCAATCACCTACTCCTTATTCTTGTACATTTTATCATATTTCTTAAGAAACAAACCAAACTTCTCAAGTGGTTTAGTTGATCCAAAAATCCTTAAATTTTTAAAATATTTGACAATCTACAAATTGTCCTCAAACTGGACACTGTTCTCCATCTAGAAATGAAGAGGGGAAAGAAGAGTTAATTTAATTTGAAGCATGAGGATTCGACGAAGAAAAAAAAATTGAATTTTTTTTTTATAAAAAAAAAACACACACACACACCTATTGCAGAGAAAGTATGGTTATTTCTCTATTCCTTTCCTATAGGATTTTTCATGCTTGTGCAATCTTTTATGAAACAGCTTCATCCGTTATGATTTGGGCTTTAATTGTACCCGGTTTCGGTTTCGTTTTAATTCGATCAGCTTTAGCAGCTTGAAGGAATGTAATACACTACAATTTTTAAATACATAATATATTTTGAAGGCTGAAATTTGAAGGAATGGAATACATAATATTTTTTGAAGGTTGAAATTTGTAGGAAAAATTGATGTTCATACCTGATTTAGCAATAGCTCATTTTGTGTTTTCAAGATAGTGCCTGCAAAGCATTTCTTGAGCGCTGTAGCACGGATATATTGAATCC